TCATTATGCGCGAGCATTCTCTCTAGCTATTTGACTGATTCTTTTCATTTTTCAGTGAGGTCCATCGAAGCCATTTTTGGCTAGTTTAACGAGCTATTTCACTTGGAGCAATCGAATATCTCATCAAGATAAACTACCGAAATGCACTATGTACTACGAAGTATTTTCCTACCAGATGCCGTGAACTTTTTCGTGCCGGGATAATGCTGGCTTTTGTATGAACGATGTTGAAGTTGTACGTGAATGACCACTTGCTTCTTTTGTGCGAACAGCATCAAGTTCTTCATGGTAGCACGTCAAAATATTAGAGCGCACTTCAAGCGTATTGGCTGCGCCTTTGACCAGCTCAAAGATTCGGTATCCTGTCAAGAACAGTCATGACCGTGTCAGCTGCGTGACGGTCGTTTGAGGCACAAGTCGGAGGCACAAGTCGGAGGCACAAGTCGGAGGCACAAGTCGGAGGAGGCACAAGTTGGAGGCACAAGTTGGAGGCACAAGTTGGAGGCACAAGTTCGAGTTACGTCGTTGTAAGAGTCCACAATGCAAACACCCATATGGGTCTCCGCATACTAGCTAAAAGTGCTGGTCATCATGGCGTTCAGCGGTTTGTTTGTCATCTGTATGCCTGCAGCAAGCTCGCTTATACCTGCCTTGTACACATACTCTAGACGGCCGTCAGTCAATCCGGGGCCTACGACAAACGTCGTCGAGTGGCGCTGTCCAAAGCTCATTTCCAAAGCTCATTTCCAAATCTCCCCACTCGAGCTCACTTCAAACAGCTCTCGTGCTCTCGTGCTCTCGTGCTCTCGTACTCTTGTGCATTCGAAGACTGTCCAAGAACAAGCAACCGCAAGAATGTTCAGCAGTAGCAAGATCACGGGCCTGTGCCTCGCCGTCGTGGCGCTTTCGAACGGCGCGTATGCTGAGAAGGAGGCCGCCCAGACGTTCGGCCTGCTAGGCGCTGGTCTGCACGGCGGTGCAGGATTATACGGAGCTGGTCACGGTGGGGTCGGCGTTGGTGGCGGGCTGTACGGCCGGGGTGCCGGATATGGTGGCGCTGGTGCTGGGCTGTACGGTCGAGGTGCCGGATATGGTGGCGCTGGTGTTGGGCTCTTTGGTCGGGGAGCCGGCTACGGAGGCGTCGGTGCTGGGGTCGGAGCTGGCGTTGGTGGCACGGGCCTTGGCAACGGATACGGCGGTGCCGGTGCCGGTGTCGGTGGTACTGTCGGTGTCGGTGTCGGTGGTACTGCCGGTGTAGGAGGAAGTGCGGGTGTCGGTGCTGGTGTCGGAGGTGGTGTGAGTGGAAACGCTGGTGCTGGTGCTGGTGTGGGTGGATCTGCGGGTGTTGGTGCTGGTGTCGGCGGCACAGCTGGCGTTGGCGGAAAGGCAGGTGCTGGAGCTAGCGCTGGTGTCGGCGGA